ACCATCAGAAATTGGTGACGTTTTCCAGCAGTAAGGGATTGCAAGATTTTGCCCCAGGAAGCTAAGAAACTGTCATTTTCACATCTTTAGGCCAGGCCTATTTTCCCACCACCCAGCAGCACGGGCTCAGATTACAAAATTAAATAGAAAGAAATAGAAATTCTCAAATCAGTCCTAACCGGGTCTTTGATTAACGGGGTATTTCCTTCAGCTTTGAAGAGCTCTTTTAACTTGGTAGATCATAACCAAAGGTGACTTCACTGATGACAGCAGGATACTGTTAACCTGTACCCGAGAGGCAGAGGGACGTCCTAGGAGGGAATCCCTCTGCGAGTAGGAAACGTGGACTGTGATCGGCTGAATTGGTCCACAGCTCCTGACTGCCACCCTACAGCGCCCCAAAAGGGAAAATTCAGACTCTTTTAGCAGCCCTCTTCAACCCCAGCCGGGCCACGTGCCCAGGACCGGGTGCTGGCTTTGGCCACGCGCAGTCCAAACCCCAGTTTAAAGCCCGGTCTGGCTGGCAGAGCCCGTGGGAAGGATCTACCAGGGTCCGTCACCCGCTTGGGTTACTCACCGATTCCTGACCGCGCCAGCCCATTTTTGGTGTGGGTCTCTTGTGGAAGGGAAGAGCATGGCCAGTTTCCACTGCTCCAGCAGACGGCATGCTATAGATTCCGCGCATTATTCCACCAGAGGGAAGCTCAGCGACACCCTGCCTTTGGCACAACCCCAACAGAGTACTGCCAGCCTTGTTAATCTCTCAGGATAAACATACCCCACCATTTCAGATTCCATAGTAGTTGTTTTTCCAGTCAAAACCAGAAATAGGAACCTCTGGGAAAAAAAACAGTGAGTATGCTAGTTCACTTAACAGATGATTTAAATTTCACTTCATCCCTCAAGGAGCACAATTGGCATAAAACAGAAGGCTCATCTGTGCTGGAAATGGTGTCACTAACGGTGGTATTTGCACAAACTACTACTAAGGGCTTTACAGTAGCAACAGGCACTTGTCTTGCCGTTCCTCAGCACTTGTAACAAGTTGACAGATATTCAGTAAATAAAGGTCATTTTATTAAATAACGGATTCTTCTTTTATTGTCTTAAGTACCAGCTCTGAAATTGTTAGAGAGCAGATTAAACACCGAGCTCCCCAGACACAAGCATCCGTTGCAAAGGATCGTGCACCACGTAAATGGGCTTGTTCAAACACCTGACATTTGCTCGTCACACACACTGCTGCGAGTGGCAAAACCATTCGGTTCTTAGCCACTGACACACTGCATTTATACTTTGACTTACAGCTCTCAGTTTCGATGAACAAAGAATACTTTGTGTTGTATAATGGTTGCACCCAAACAAACCTACACTCTGTGATCTTCACGCGCCTTGATCAGTCGACACAAACCCCTCGAAGAGCTGGAAGGACTCAGCACTGCCGAGTCTGCTCCCAGGGCAGAGCTGCGGCCACTAAAACTGCCGAAAACGTTCCTCCCAAGGCCTCCGCGGACAGAGCAGCCCATTTACAAATGCAACGATCGTCACTTCTAACACCAGCCATTCCATTTGCGCCAGTCTTTCCAGTGACCTTCCCGAGGCGGCTCAAACAGGAAGGCTTCCCAGTACCACCGTTCCCCACCGTGAGGCTCCTGGGGGTACCAAACGCGGGCGGGCACACCAAGCCCCGGGACACGGTCGGTAGGAGGTGGGTCAGGCAGCTCTGGTACCCAACAAGCCCTGCAAAACCCGTGTTCCTGCATCTCTGCCCTCCAGCAGGAAGGATTTACCTTGAAACCCTTTCCAAGAGGTCTGAAGATCGACAGTCAAGCAGGAGGGCACGTAGAGACACCTTCTGCCCTAGGACGGGAGACGCCTTCCACGGTGGCTGAGCTCCCGCCCTTCCCCAAAGGTACGTGGACCCTCTGTGTTCAGGCTTGCAGTAAATCAGCCTGCTGAGAGATTCAGCCCTCCCTCTGCGATTAAGCTGGGCTACAGAGAGTGAAAACTCAAACAGGTAACAGGCAGGGAAAGGCACGGTCTTGCTCCTTCAGCAGCTGTTCAATATTTTTACCTAGAAGCCAAGGAACACTCGGCCACCGACTCATCGGTGAACAACCCGACCCTCATAAATGCCTACCAAAGATGATGAAACAGAAAGCCCAAAGGTGATGAAACAGAAAGCCCAGTAATTCAAAAAGATTAAAGAAAAGTCCAAATGGCTGAGAAACGAAACTCCACCATAAATCCAACCTTCAATAAGTTAAATTATTCATTTATTTTTAAGTGAGAACCATCGCGTTCGAACAGCTCTGGCTGGACAGCCAGCTAAAAAAGCACAAACCCACACCACAGAAATAATAAAACACTGAAAGAATGACATTTTTAGCGGTTCTTCTTAAGATGTACAACTTGGTGTTTTCATTATAAGGCGATTAGTGTCTTTTTCCTAAGCAACTCTTTCGCCATTTGAAATAGCACGCCGCTTGTACTTCTGAAGTCATTCTGATGGATGCTCTCCTCCGTCCATTATCCATCAAACCCTGGGTAAAATTCCCCACAAAAAGTACCTTATGCCTCAAAAACCAAAATTAAACAAAAAGCATCTTTGTCACTCTACCTGTCTGCGGACAGGATGAGAAGCCCGTTGGCTTCCTCAGCTCACCTGTCATTAACCACCCTCGAGCACCAAGGAATTTCACTAACACACGGCGGTGCTGGCGTCGCAAAGCTGCTGCGGGGCCACCCGCGCCCACCACTTGCACCAGGATCAGAGCGTGCCTTGCTGTCAGCACGGGCTGCCTTAAGGCCAGCAATCCTTTATGGTTTTTCATTCCCATTGTGGAATTTCGGCTTTTCTAAGAGGGGTTTTAAACGAGAAGGCAAGCGTTGCACAAAACAGGAGTACCACTGGGAACGGAAGAAAAAAACCGTCAGATTTACTGGCAAAGGGACTATGGATGTGAAGACATTTACCCTCACCTCCAACTCACTTTAGGTCTCATTACGAGCTTGAATTTTTCATACCAAAGTGTAATTTTTCATTATAAATTGATTCAGCCTCTAGAAATGTGCACCCTCTAGGTACATGCACCAGCAGACAGGTGACAAGCATTCTGTTTTCACTGAACTAACAAGTTTCATTAAATGTGTCGATAAACAGAACTGTGCTCTAAATTGCAGTATTTGAAATAGATCTGAAGCAACTTGGATGTCGACTGGGAAGTAAGCACACGTGTATTAGCCATCAAGGAGTGGAAGCAAACTCTGTTGTCCACACCCAAACATCGCTTTCGGTATTAAACCGGAGTAGATCCAGCGATGCGAACTACTGGTTCCTGCACAGCTGAACGAAGCGCAACAGAACGCATCCTTACGCCCTAAATTCTGGAGCTGGACTGGATGTTTATAGACTTTGAAGTTTAAAAAGAAAAAAAGCTTTAGGTATCAGTGAACAGCAGGACCAGAGACAATTTCCAAGCTTCCTGCACGCACACGCCAGCCCTTCCCGCGTGGACGCCGAGGCCAGACCCGGGTACGCAGCAGGCCGGGAGGGAGCTGCCGTTCTCTCCGTGCCCTTGACGCTCCAAGAACCAGGACTTGTCAACCTCAGCCCTGCAGCCTGGATGTCACCTCTGCCCTTCGATCCTGTTTGGATCGGGCCCTTGAGGCTAAAGGACGCTCCCACAGCACAAGGGAGGGAAGGTGGAGCTGCCAGGGGAAGACGTAGCCGAGCGTTCCTCACACGGGAGTCTTGCACCTGAACTTTTAACAGAAACGAGCAACCTGCAACCGAAAATCCTAGGAAAGAACGGGGAAGGGAGAAGCAGGCTGCTCCCCAACTTGCCCCCCGTTAGGATGCAGGAGCGTAGCTCTGGCAACCAGCCCGTGGTTACCACTTGAGACAGATGGGAACGTGCTTCCCTGTCAAAGCTGCGATCCCCCACGAGGAACGAAATGATGCTGTCTTGAACACGCTGTGGGTAACAGACAGGGAAGGGTCCAGAAATAGAACAAAACTAATAATATGAAGCCAGGTTTGGAATATGAAATGAAAGCTGTCTTTTGCACAGAAAGGGATGTGTTTGTTCTTAACAGATAAAAAACCAGAACTTTTTTTTAGCCCCAAGACTATGAGTATCACACTAGGCATGCATCGTCCTGACGAAGACGTAACCTATCACAAATAGACGACGGATGTTGGTCAGACCGTATTATCAGCAGGATAATTTCTGCGATTGAGGAGTTTATAAAGACTGGTCTATATAAAATATTGAATAATATGGGACACTGGGCTTTTAACGAGCCTTTGAATTCTAACTACAGCACAAGCAACTCATGAATGGGTTTTAAAAATTTTAGATACTAACAATATCTGAGCCTAGATTTGAAAAAAAATACGCTGGATTTTCTTCACAAGCCAGTGGTTCTTTCAAGGTCAATTCAATAATGAGCTCCATCTTTTATTGTAAAGCACACTGCACAACAAAGCTCAAGAAGAAAACCGACTTTCAATTTCAACAGCAGTATGTTTTTCTAATACTGCTCGTTTCTCTCCATCGAAATGAACCCGGCTCTAGTACCACGCTGTTGTGCTTTGTCTACTGAATCCACAGCAGCAAACAAATGCTAATTGCAGCTCTTCCATTACGGCAGAGGATGATATACAAACAGAAAGATGTTCTGCCCTATGGGTGCCAAGATGAAAAAAAAAACACCACCACAAAAAAACCTTTCTGTCTTAAAAATGTCAATTTACTTTTACTGAATTCTTTAGTCTCCACCTTCCCTTAGAAGAAAAAAAAACACTGCAATTAACACAAAATTGTTGTGATTATTCCATTTTAACATTTATTCTTGCACAGAAAGCCAAACAGCCAGAGACATCTGCTTCAGGCAAGTGACGGCATCAGCAGCGCCCGTTACTCCACATTCAAGTCCAACTGGAAAAGGAAATTTCAAGACGCTTCTGTCTTCATTGAAATAATTCTTAAAACTTTTTAGGTGTTGTGTTCCAAGTCTTTAGAAATGGTGATTCTTTCACGAGGTTTGGTAGCCTCGTCCATCAGTTCCTTCAGCTGCCCAATCTGTTCATCACGGAAGTCATCAAGTTTTTCTTCTGTGAGCTGGATTCCATAGACAGTCTTTTCTCTCAAGTTTCGTTTGTCCTCATCGATTTGTTGCTGTATCAGGGCTGCATAGTTCTAATGAAGAAGGAATATAAAGGTCACAAAACCAACAAACACAGGATTCAGGTCAACTTTTTTTAACACCACTTTACCGTAGTAACCTGCTCTTACTCAATCTTCTACAACAGTGTATTAATCAACACCTAAATGACAAAAAACCCCACTCTTTATAAGAAAGAAAAGTTATTAAGATATTTCTAGTACCTATGGTCAATTTTATGCAGCTAGTTTAAAATGCGTGGCATGTACGTACAGACTAATTTAACTGTTGTATCACGTATTACTACTGAAAATAATATAGATGAAATGTATTTGTGTAGTTATAACTATTAAAATGCATGTTTTCTATCTAGCAGCTTATCAATGGGACTTCCTTTGTAAACTGATACATCTGGAAAAGTATTATTTTTGAAGAAACGTCTTAGAAAAAGCAAACCAGAATTAGACGAACGTCCTAAAGCCTTCCTGCCTCACCACCCTCTGCATTTCTGGGAACTGATAAGGTCATTTGCACCCGGCCCAAAGGCAGTAGGAATTCAGCAACTGGGAGGCTTCTGTTTTTTTCAGTTGTGGAAGAAATTAGTTAGCAAAATTAAAAGTCAGGGGAGAATAAGAAGGGGCTTCAAGGACAGACACCTCCGTATTGCGTGCTCGTTCCCCGAAGGGAAGAAAAAAGGATAACCCCCTTTCTGTACTGCTTGGCACCTAAGTTTGTTCAGACTTACTTGCAATCCTCTTGTAACAGAAAGCATTTGGACCACGATAACTTAAATATCAGCATTTACGTTAGCGGGCAGGCAAACCAGGCTGAGGACCATTATTAACACAAAACGTTCTCCCGGGCAGAAGCCGAAGCGGCCAACAGGTCACACCAGCGAGGCGGGCACCGCTGGAAAACGGCTTTCTCGCCACTTTGGAGCAATCTTTGACTATCCTGGCTTTTCGAAATCACAGCGCCCGAGGGTCTGCGAGGACAGCGGTTCTCCGCAAACCGAATTCGGCCGGCGGCGCCGCCGTGCCGCCCGCCGCCCGCGGCACGGACCCTGCGCAGTCCCCGGCTCCCTCTGCCCAGCACCAGCCCCGGGAGAAGCTGCAGGGAGTGAAGTTGTCCAAGGCCTCGTGCACTTACCGAAGTCAGGGAACCTGCTCGGGTGTTTAAATTGAAGCGCTCACTTAAACGCCGGGTTGGAAGGGAGTCTAAACTTTCATTTTACTCAAGAGGGACTTAAAAACAAACTCGGCAATTAAGAAGTTAATTTCAAAAGTTCATTTTTATTGGAAAAAATATAGGCTTCTCTCTCACTTTAGTAAGGTGTCCTCTGAAGCACCCTTCAAGTTTCATGCCCAACTCTGAATATAGAGTAAGAAAGTGAATTAAAAAGCCCTATATTCTGAATAAATAAGTATGATGACTGTGTTATATGGTACCACTTTCCTTTTTTAAAATAAAGGATCAACTAACAGGAGTATTCAAAAGCACAGGATTATAGCAATAAGAGATGAGCATTACTTTAATTTCCAATTTTCAGCTAAAAGAAGCATAGTGACTTTTTAATCCAATTACCAGCAAAGTCACTAAAGCCACTACTTCAGCTGTACGTCTAATAGTTCCAGAGAAGTGGACGAGAAGGAAGAATGTGATAAAACAACAACATTTACTAACATAAATACACCACGCTGTTTGTGGACCACGTCAAGCCTCACTAAGGTCGGCAGGATCTTACCAGCCCTGCTGCAAAGCTTAATCCATGGCTACTTAAAGCAAATAGGCAGACAAACCCAACAAAAGTAAATTTTATCAATACAGACTCTGAACTGAAGTGGTTCCTCACTTCTAATAGAGAGATCTGCAGCGGCAGAACATCGTGTTAAAGTCACCCGGTAAGAAAAATAACAACAGTCCCAAAATACTGAGGTTCTTCCCCACATTGCCTCTCCCCTTTTTACATCAAATGCGCAGTCAGGGACAGTGACACTACACAATCCCTGCAGTCATCCCGCACCTCGGTGGTACCACCTTACAGTAGAGTTGGCCCAGGGTTTAGAAGGGACTAAGTACAGTTTTTTCCTGGTGACTGAACAATCCAACAGTAACAACACGGTAAAAAACGGTAATGGGTTAAAAAGTCTTCAGCTCTGTGATTTATAGAATTTCTTATCAAGGCAGATGGACAAAGGTGATCTCTGAAGGCGTCAGCAGACCAGTAACACACCAACATGTGACCCATCAACGATTCCACCTCATTCTAACCTCAAATTTCTGCGCAGACCAACCCAGTCAGTATCGATTCCGGACTCCAGCAGAAGAAACTCTCATTATACCACACAGCAACATTCACAGCGTGTAACGCAGAAACGATCCCGAAAGCCAGCCACGGGAAACTCTCCGTGCCTTACCAAGAGACCCGACTAACCGTACAAACCCCCCAGAACCGCTCCGTGCGACGCCCTGCCACTGCAGGGTCCACACGGGGAGAAAAGCCCTCCCCACCGCAAATGACCCCCCGCCGGGGAGCAGCCTGGGGCGACTGGGGCAATGGTACCTCCAAATCACTGAAGTCCATTTTAAGACCAGCTGCATTTTTACAAACTCTGTTGACCAGCAGATCATCTCTTCCAAAAAGACCAAACGAATTACCGGTAAAGAGCCTGCAATTATTCTTTTTAAAACATCAAAGCATCAGCGTTCAAGAATGCAGCTCCTGGAAAGGGTGGTCCTCGACAAAGCCGCAATGCCCGCCCTCACAGACACACAGCGACGGGCTGCACCGCCCCATCCCTTGCTTCGCAGCACCCCAGTGTGCTCCCATCTGGGCCTGTCACCGCTGGCTCTTTTTCCCCCCACCCCACACTCATTTTCCAGCTGAACAAATGTTTTGTACGTGCCAGAAAGCTTCAACAGTTGCGGTTTCACACGGATTTGTAATGTGAAGAAAAATTCAAAATTGGACCCTGAAAACACGCTGGGTTTCCGTTGGCTCGTGACAGAAAAATGGAAGTTTCTCACCTCACTTTACCAAAAGGCAGTGATGCACCAAAGAAAATGTGTTTCAGCTTTCACAAAAGCGATGGAGAAAGATCGACTATAGGGTGTGCCTCATTTTCTCTGCCTGTGACGCCAGATGAGGAACGAACAAAGCTTGGGATAGCTAAGTGTTTAGCACATTACTGATCCCTCAGAAATTCACACGTTATTATGATATGATCAGCGATTTGTGGGAAGGGACTACATAATTTGCTGGTACGTGGTTCTGTAATTCAAAATTCAGCTTCCATAGAGAAAATGTGCCATTTTGCTAACTGCACATGAACTTTAGTACGTTGAACTCCAAAGTTCAGTACTAGGCTTAAAAGCATAACAGGGAAAAAAAAAAAACCAACCAACCAAACAAGCTAACATTTGTTCTTTCAATAATGTACCTTCGGTCACAAAATACAATGATCACAGCCCCTCTCAGGCAACAAGGAGGACCAGCACGTTTGGGTACGCCCTAGTTTTCATACAGCATTTAACTACTTCCTAGCGTCACCTTCTCTACCAGCAGAACCGAAACAAATCCTTGCTTAGCTTTCCCAAACAAGGAAAATCGCTTCGCTTCTGCCTTTACCCCTTGTATGTGACTGCCACCAGGAACAAAGAGGATCAGAATCAAGTCTGAGTCAAGACAACCTCTCCTGACCACTCGCCACCAAAAGACAGCAGATTTATCTATCCAGTATGCAACCCCATCACAGACACACTGTGTCCCGCTCGTCCCAGTCCCCACCCCAGTCTTAAAGCAGGGTAGCAGCCCGAGGTGCAGACTGGCCAGGTCCCTGCATGGCCAAGAGCACGTGCAGCCGCGGAGCTGCCCCGAAACTCTCCGTGTCGCCCACGCAGGGAGGCAGGTGCCTCACCGGGACGCTCCGATGAGCTCCCTGGAGATGCCGGTGCTGCCCACCGATCACGTTGGCACCTACAGCGTGTCGGCTGAACCCAGCCACTGGGCTCTCTTAAAATCCTATGACATGATTAAACACTTGAACCTCCAAGTGTTTTCTACAAAAACACAGAAGGTATTTGCTGTAATCGATAACCACAGGGGGGTTTATTTAAATTCCCTAACTGGAGCACACACACAGTTTTCCTCTGCTCTCCGATTCACAGGCATTCACGGAATGCACAAATTCACCAAAAGGGCAAGGGGACGGGTGACATTTGAGGTTTTAAAATACCACACATGACAAGCAGGGTGTCAGCCTTGTTGTTTTCAAAGCTGAGAAAGGATTACATACCAAAAAAAAAGCAAAAACCACACAACCAAAAGCCCCTCTCCCTGACCGCCAGACGTACAGGCTCCCACCTGGGCCAGTGCAAGCTGACAGGCACTCATCTCGTACACGAACGCGAAATGCTGATGGACATTTATAATTTAAGCATGAGATTAAATGGGTTAAGAGCCCATTTGCCCGTTTTCACTGGGAAGAACTGCAATCATCATTTCCATTTCCTTTGCGTCCTCCTCAAGGTGTACAACGCTACATTTTAGACAATCATTCCAAAAATCTCTGAAAGATTGATTTAGACAGAAAAAGCCTGGGTAGATATCTCTGTTCACATTAATTACCTGCACGATCCACTTTCTCGACAGATTTTCTCTTAAAAATGGTCTAAAATTTGAACCTCCCTTAAGCAGTTAAAGCATAAAGCCAAGGTATTCGTTTGTTCCAAAACCGGGTCTCCGCTTGCAGTCAAATTAACGATAACACGGATAAACAACAACATTACTGGGCCCAGACCAAAAACCGCTACTCTGAGACTTGTTAAACAAACAGGGCACAGTCAGGCACCGAAAAACGCTATCAAATTGTTTTAAATTGATTTTTCTCAGGGTGACACCAAAAAACCGAGGCACGGCCCGACAGGCCACCCTCAGCGCTCCCTGGAAGTTAACTTAAAACTGCAGCATTTCCAATTCCGCTGCTGCTACTAGGAGCAAAACCAACCACGGGCTGCTGGGACGGGAGCATGAAGAAACGACTGTGAACAAACAGCACAGCAAGGAACAACCTGTTCTTACCATCGTGCAGAGATACGCTGGGCGAACTATTTCATGCACAGTCAGACGGAATTCTGCAACTGATTTACTCTTGTATTTTTTACTACAAAACTCTTGTTTGTTAAACTAACTGAGTATCAGCAAAAGACAAAATCTTTATAGAAGTGATTTCTAAACAGGAGATACACCTCATGAAATCCCAGAGCATCTTCATATATTCTCCCTGAAGCCGTAAGTATAGTGAGAAAGGCAGTAACAAACCCAGGGAAATTCCACCACGCTTCAGCTCAGCTTAACACGCAATTTCAGTGGCTATTTTCATACACTTGTGTACACGTTAAGCCATAACAACCTACACTTCACCCTTTAAGACCACTTAAACCAGCCCATAAGCATTTTAAAAATTGCATCAAATACAATTACTGCCAAATAAACGACCTAATCTGAATAAACAGCTATGTGCAGTCACACATCCTCTTGAAGAAGAACAACATATTATCAGACAATTTCAAACCACTTCTGTTTTTGTAAAGGACACACCATGATCACTTAAAAAAACGCCACTGTACTATAAAGGGTGGTGAGTAAGCCTTCCTCCTGCTCTTGAAAATACCCACCAAGTGATACCCGGTAATGACACACGGCTGGCATCATCAGTTTCTTACGTGGAAAATTAAAATAGCAATTGCTGGCAAAAGAGCAACAGAATGAAGATGGGAATTTCGCTCTGAGCCACCCAGCACAGCAGAGGACCTCTGGGGAACAGAGATGTCCAGCTCCTACTGCGGGTCTCGGCAGAAGGTGCTAAAACAACTTTCTCTTCTGGCCTTTCAACCCCCTGAGCATCCATCGCACGTGCAAGAGCAAACCAGAGGCAACTCTTTGCAAGAGGAACTTACACAAACATTCAGCAGTGGCTTAACGCTGCTCCTGCCAAAAGCATGAAGGACGCGGGGCTGAGCAGTTTGGCAAAAAACCCTTTTATTTACTGTAGCGTGAGCACAATCCCAAAGATTACTCTCTTTCTGCAAATGCCAGAGGACTTCACGTG